AAGAAAGAAAGAAAGAAAGAAAGAAAGAAAGAAAGAAAGAAAGAAAGGAAGAAAGAAAGAAAGGAAGGAAGGAAGGAAGGAAGGAAGGAAGGAAGGAAGGAAGGAGGAAGGAAGGAAGAAAGAAAGGAAGGAAGAAAGAAAGAAAGGAAGAAAGAAAGAAAGAAAGGAAGAAAGAAAGAAGGAAGGAAGGAAGGAAGGAAGAGAAAGAGATAGAGAAAAAAAGAAAGGATGGAAGAAAGAAAGAAAAGCAAGAAAGAAATCAAGAAAGAAAGAAAGAAGGAAAGAAAGAAAGAAGGAAAGAAAGAGAGAAAGAAAGAAAGAGAAAGAAAGGAAGGAAGGAAGAAAGAAAAGCAAGAGAAAGAAAGAAAGAAAGAAGGAAGGAAGGAAGGAAGAAAGAGAAAGAGATAGAGAAAGAAAGAAAGGATGGGAGAAAGAAAGAAAAGCAAGAAAGAAATCAAGAAAGAAAGAAAGAAAGAAGGAAAGAAAGAGAGAGAAAGGAAGGAAGGAAGGAAGGAAGAAAGAAAAGCAAGAAAGCAAGAGAAAGAAAGAAAGAACCCTCCTTGCCCCCACCAGTGTTGTTCTCTGCATCTGAGTGCTCGTGGAAGACATGGCTACCTAGCACAGATCTCTGTGACCACCCCCTCCTCACTTAAGCTCCTAGTTATCAACTAATTTAGTTTCTTAGTGAGATTCTTGAAGATAAAAAGAATCTAATTGGCTCTGTCCAACCTACAAATGAGTTCCTTTGGAGTCCACCCTAATTCCAACGACCTTTGCTTGCAGAATGGGGTTCAAAGCACCAAAAGGCAGCCAGGACTGTGGCCAGAAAGGATGTGCATCCCTATGTCAAAAACCATCATGGGCACAGCCTTGGACAACCAGTCATTGGTTTTCGTGATTACATATACGCACGCAAAATTAAATAAAACTCACATGGATGTGTCCTTCTTCATGAATTCCCAACTGTTCCTACAAAAGCCCTCCTAAGTGAATCTTCTCAGGTGCCCTGATCGGAAGGCTAAACTTTACATGAAACCTGAACCCCAACTCAGCAAGTAAGCTTCTCCCTTGATAGATCTTTCATGCTGTGGTTTCCATCTCTCCTAAGAAACCCTTCAACCATTTTTCTGCTGGTCATCCACGTGGTTATGGGCTGAGCTCTTTTCATCCATAACTCTCCCCCATACCAGTTCTCTCCCCGTCTTGTCCCAGTTAGCTTTAAAATGGGACAAAACCTGTACTGTGAAACTCCTTGTTTCTTTCTCACCCACCCCTCACAGAGAAGAAAAGCATCTCAACCAGCTTCCTCTTCGCTTTATCTAGAGTGGAGTACGATCACTGCAGTATCGATTAATTAACAGATTCCTGGTCTGGTTGCCCTGGCAATGCTCGCCAAAGCGTCAGAACCCTTCCGGAGCAGCATGTCCAGCAGGAAATTAACTATTTTCTTCACACACGTAAGTCAAGTGCACAGAGCACCTGGTGCAGAGATGGGCACCGAGGGGACACACTGTAAGCACTTGCTGACTAGCTGACAGCACCTCGGCCAACGAAGACGGTGCTGGGTCTGCTGCCTTGAACATCTGAAGGTGTTTAGAGCTGGTGGCTGAGACACCATCTAAGGGGAGTAGCAGCCAGTGTGATTGTACAAGAGCATCAGCGTGGTGCTAACATCTTAGAAATAATCTAGAAGAGCAGAGAAAAGCCTATCAGCCCTTTGCCAGGCTAGGCTGCCACTGGACCGGAAGCAGGGGGGGCTAGATTGATTTCTTCTGTACCTGTCGTTTTCACTACCGTCTCTCGAGGCAGCAGAGAAGACTTTCCACGTTGAACCTCAGTCTTGGCAGTTCCCCCAGAGCAGGCCATGAGCCCAACTCATGCTAGGTCAGATGTCCAATCAGGAAAGTCTCCCTCACCCAAGTGTGAGTAACAGAGAACGCTAACTGTATAAATAAACACAAGTACCAGCTTTCAGCTTAGTTATAGACAAGCCTGATACCCCCAGTTTGTTTCTTCTGAAGCTATGTTTATGGCTCCAGTCTTTAGGAAAGGTGAGTCCGCCAAGGTTCATCTCAAATTCAGGTTTAAACTGTTTGCTCCATTACATGCCCAATCACTGACTGCTTCTCACATTTCTTTTGAGGATAAAGAACAGAGAGCTTGAGGTTCACTCAAGCTAGCCTACCTGAAGGAGAGTTTATCGAAAAGATACAGAACTCACAGTCACCTGACCCAGTCAAAGAAGAAGCTAATGTCATAAATACAAGCAAGATGATGGAGCTGGGACTGGGCCAGCTGTGGCCCAAATGGCAGTAGGAGACGGATTTGAGAGACATTATGGGGAAAACCACCAAGAGCATGTAATTTGCTGAGAGAGCCAATGCACATACTTAACCTGTATGAGTTAATCTATTTTACATGACAGAGAGAAACTGGTTGAAGAGGAAGGTAATGTTAACTCTAACCAGGAAAGACGTCATAGGGAATGTGGCTCTGAACTGGGGCTTATTGAAAGATGGGTAAATTTGGACATGCAGGAATGGAGGAGAGTGGGGACTCCAGATGTCCCCTAGGAATATGTTTCAGGGTTCAGAGGATGGGTCGTCACACTAGTGTACTTTATACATAGCCTTCTAATTACCCAGTGAGGAGTAAAGCCGGAAAAAATAAATCAGGTAATATGGAAAGTGCACAGAGGTATTCATTTAACATTGGCCAATGTGTATCGGGTGTCTCCTCTGTGACAGGCACTGTGATTATACACAAATTGACATCACACAGGCGCTGCCCTGAAGATGCTTTTGGCCCAAGCTCACCATATTCACAGCCCATGGAACAGTCTCTAAAAGCAGAGTCTGAAGATCACCCGTATCAATGTCACCTGGGCAGCTTGCGCCAAGTGCACGTTCCCAGACTTCTCCCAAGACTGACTGAATCTGACTTTCTGAACTAAGACCCCAGAATCTTCCTTTAAAGCAGATTCACCAGGGAGCGTGTATGCATCTCAAGGATGAGAATGGAGTCGGGGGCAGAGGACAGAATAAGTATTTTCCAAGCGACCGTGCCCCATATGAGACAAGCATTTTACATAGTATTTCATTTAATCCTCCCAACAACACTACCGTGTTTATATTATTATCTCCATTTTACGGATAAAGAAACCAAAACGCAGAGAGGTTAAAGGTTTTACCTTATGATACAACTCATATGTTTTAAAAAATAGAGGTTCCACGGGTGAAATCTCCTCTTTCACAATAGAAATTTTTTTTAAGTTCACTATAACAGTCAAAAAATTGAGGCAGACCACCACCTTTCAGCTCACCAACAGAATGACATTAGTCCATTTGATGAAAATGTCCAATGAAGATCTACTGTGATTCTCCCAACAGAGACAAGCAGGTATCGTTCCCATGGGCATCTCCAGGACAGGGGGAGCAGTCAGGGAGAGAAGGAACAGAAGGAATGGGGGGAATCAGAAAAGAAGAAAATAGACTT